TTCACCATGTTGACCAGGATGGTCTTGATCTCTTGACCTCGTGATCCACCCGCCTCGGCCTCCCAAAGTGCTGGGATTACAGGCTTGAGCCACCGCGCCCGGCCATCTGGTGGTTTTATTTCAAAGCCCCCAAGGGAAACCGTTGGCTGTACAGACATTTTCAAAGTTGCCAGTGTTACTTTAATTGGACTGCCTTCAGAATTCATTGCCTTTGCTTCAACAATGTACAATTCATCCTTTGCACCAGCCCCTAAACTGACCATTCTTAAAGATAACTGGTGCTCATTTTCATCATTATCCACTTTGAAGTGATCATCTTTGTCAGCCTTTAATTCACAACTGAAAAGATAGTTCCGGGGCCTCAGGGGGCTCATGTCCATGTCCATCGAATCTTCCATCGGGTGGCGGAACACACTTAAGTAGAAGAGAAGGCGGGCAGAGATAAATGACCACTGCTCAAAAGAACAGCTGTGCAGGAGGGAATCACACCAGGATAATTGGTTTATTAGGGTGTGGTTCAATATCTACTGAAGGGAAAGGAGGAACACAGGATTGGGGAGACTGAGAAGTTGGTCTGCAACTTAATGATGGGCTCAATTAACCCCACAGGTATTTTGTAACTTAGTATCCTGTTTTTAAGCTTTGTTTATTTCCCCCTCTTTTCCTTCTTTGGCCCTTTGTATTACTTTTCAGTAAGGAAATAGTAACCTTTATACTCCTTCTTTCCACTAGGTACCCTTCACACTTATTTCATACTCGTGTATTTACTATGTTTGCTTAAAAGTTTCAGAGACTAAATCTTGAAACAATACAGGCAACTATGGAAATCGCCCCCACCAGGAAATTGCTTCATGGCTACTGGAGCCTAAGATGGTGCCTACCCATTCACCAGATAGAGAAATAAGTCAAGTTATGGGAACAAGTCACATTGACCTGCCCTGACTCACCCCCTGCACACCCTCCATGCCAAAACCTTCCCTTCCTAAACCCTCCATTTCACTTGGAAATTTGAGGTGGTTTCACTGAGACAATAACCTGGATTGTATTCCCCACTGCTGGCTTTAGTTTGTAATAAAGTCACTCACCTGCTACCATATCTTGATCTTGTTCATTTGTTTTTGTTTTTGAGACAGGGTCTTGCCCTATCTCCCAGGCTGGAGTACATTGATACAATTATGGATCACTGCAGCCTGGACTTCCTGGGCTCAATTGATCCTCTTGCCTCAGCCTCCCAAGTAGCTGGAACTACAGACGCGTGCCATGCCTACCTAATTTTTCTATTATTTGTAGAGATGGCATATCACTATATTGCCTAGGCTAGTCTCAAACTCCTGGGTTCAAGCAATCTTTCTGCCTTGGCCTCCCAAAGTGTTGTGATTACAGGTGTGAGCCACAGTGCCTGGCCAACCTTGTTGATTTGTTTTGCAAGCAGCAAGCGGTCAAACCCACATTTGGTAACAATTTCAGTCCAGAAATGGGATGAGAAATCGGGGGTTTTATACCCCTGCAGTGATCCATCATTGGATATAGGCTGCTTTAGGGAAATGGCATGACACTAGGTGAGGTGCCACTTTAGCCAGGCAATTCCTGAAGAGGGCTGACAGCTGAAAGGTGTCTATAGCAATACTCCCAGCAACATCTTGGGAGAATAATTTCTTCCTGCCCTTCCCCTTCCTTCCCCCCTTCTCTTCTCTCTTTCCCTTCTTTCTCCACCCCCTGCTTTTTTCCTTCTTTTGGAGTCTTGCTATGTTGCTCAGGCTGGTCTTGAATGTCTGGTCTCAAGCAATCCTCCTGCCTCAGCCTACCAAAGTGTTAAGATTATAGACATGAGCCACCCTGTCTGGCCTGAGGATACATTCTTTAGTCCTGCAGAGGGGTCTGGGAGGCAAGTCATGGCACAAGGGGTATAATAGTAGAATAAATTCCTAGATGGTCTAGTAGGATAATAGGATAAATTCTTAGATGCTGGGTCTTAGCATATCTACATTTGTAATTTTAAAAGGTGTTGTCAAAATAAAAATATATTGTATATACTGTATATATTTTTCCAATATATACTTCCATAGGCAATGCAGGAAAATATCTGTTTCCTCTTGCCCTTGGTAACACAGGGAGTTGTCAAACATTTAAATTTTTTTAGTTAAGCTTTTTATAATCTATATTTTTTACTAAAACACTTTTCCAGTTTCTTTCTTTTTTTTTTTTGAGATGGAGTTTTGCTCTTGTCACCCAGGTTGGAGTACAGTGGCATGATCTCAGCTCACTGCAACCTCCACCTCCTAGGTTCAAGTGATTCTCCTGCCTCAGCCTCCAGAGTAACTTGGATTCCAGGTGTACGCCACCATGCCCAGCTAATTTTTGTACTTTTAGTAGAGATGGGGTTTCACCAAATTGGCCAAGATGTTCTCAATCTCCCTACCTTGTGATCTACCCGCCTCAGCCTCCCAAAGGGCTGGGATTACAGGCGTTAGCCACCATGCCCGGGCCACTTTTCCACTTTCTATTTACCCCCCAAGTACATATTCTTTCAACCCTGACTCTGCAATTTACTAGCTGTCTCAGTGTGTTTACATGTAAAATGGGAAAAATAGAACATGTTGGGTCTCAGAAAATAATACTCCAAAATATGGCACTTTGCCATGATGAACTAAAGCAGCCTCCAGCTGCTGCCTCCCTGCTGCCACCATTTCTCAATCCTCTGTCCCTGTAATCTCAGTAGCTAGGATTACAGGCAAGCACCACCATGCCCTGATAATTTGTGTATATTTAGTAGAGACAGGGTTTCAGCATGTTGGCCAGGCTGGTCTCGAACTCCTGACCTCAAGTGATCAGCCCACTTCGGCCTCCCAAAGTGCTGGGATTACAGGTGTGAGCCACTACACTGGGCCCATTTAGTTTCTAATAAGAATCATTTACGGCCGGGCGCGGTGGCTCAAGCCTGTAATCCCAGCACTTTGGGAGGACTTGGCAGGAGGATGATAATGTCAGGAGTTTGAGACCAGACTGACCAACATGGTGACACCCCGTCTCTACTAAAAATACAAAAATTAGCTGGGTGTGGTGGTGGGCTCCTGTAAACCCAGCTACTGAGGAGGCTGAAGCAGGAGAATTGCTTGAACCCAGGAGGCGGAGGTTGCAGTGAGCCAAGACCGTGCCACTGCACTCCAGCCTGAGTGACAGAGTGAGACTCCATCTCAAAAAAAAAAAAAAAAAAAAAAAAAAAAAAAAACGGGACTAAAAAAAAAAAAAAAAAAAAAAAAAAAAAATGGGAGTTTGATGACATATCAAATGCAAAACCCCATATTTATAAACAGCAGGCAACCAAAAATATTCTCCCTATCTTACCATCATACACTGATGACTTCTAAATTTGTACATTTAGGCCAAATTTCTTATTGGCAAGTAAAAATATTCATCTGTTTACTGGTTATGTTACTGTAAAGAGGTCGCGATCCAAACCCCCAGAGAAAGTTCTTGGAGCTCACTCAAGAAAGAATTTGGGCCAGGCGCGGTGGCGCGGGCCTGTAGGATCTCTTGTGTCCAGGAGTTCTGGGCTGTAGCACGCTATGCCGATCGGGTGTCCGCATTAAGTTCAGCATCAATATGGTGACCTCCTGAGAGTTGGGGACCACCAGGTTGCCTAAGGAGGGGTGAACTGGCCCAGGTCAGAAACGGAGCAGGTCAAAACTCCCGTGCTGATCAGTAGTGGGATTGTGCCTGTGAATAGCCACTGCATTCCAGCCTGGGCAATATAGCGAGACCCTGCCTTAAAAAAAAAAAAAAGAAAGAATTTGGGGCTGGATGTGGTGGCTCACGCCTGTAATCCCAGCATTTTGTGAGGCTGAGGCGGACAGACCACTTGAGGTCGGGGGCTCAAGACCAGTCTGACCAACATGGAGAAACCCTGTGTGTACTAAATATATAAAAGTTAGCCAGGTGTGGCGGGGTGTGTCTGTAATCCCAGCTTCATGGGAGGCTGAGGCAGGAGAATTGCTTGAACCCGGTTCAAGACAGAGGTTGCAGTGAGCCGAGATCACACCATTGTACTCCAGCCTGGGCAACAAGAGTGAAACTCTGCTTCAAAAAAGGAAAAAATTGGGGTGAGTCCATAAAGTGAAAGCAAGTTTACTGGAGAAGTAAACAAAAGAATGGCTACTCCACAGGCAGAACAGAGATATGGGCTGCTCCACCGAGTATACTTATAGTTATTTCTTGATTACATGATAAACAAGGGGTGGATAGATTATTCACAAGTTTTTCTGGGAAAGAGGTGAGGATTTCCTGGAAGTAAGAGTTCCTCCCCTTTTTAAACTTTATAGGGTAACTTCTGAAGTTACCATGGCATTTGTAAACCATCATGGCGCTGGTGGGAGTGTCTTTTAGCATGCTAATGCATTATAACTAACATATAATGAGCAGCCAGGAGTGCAGAGGTCAGTGAGCAGAGCAGTGGTCGGCATCCTGGTTTTGGTGGGTTTTGGCCAGCTTCTTTATTGCATCTGGTTTTATCAGCGGAGTCTTTGTGATCTGTGTCTTGTGCTGGCTTCCTATCTCATCCTGTGACTAAGAATGCCTAACCTCCTGGGAATGCAGCCCAGCAAGGTATCAATCAGCCTTATTCTACCCTATTCAAGATGGAGTTACTGTGGTTCAAATGCCTGACAGTTATTTCTATCTTGATGCCCCCGTAGGCACTTTGAATTCAATATGCCCCAGCCAAGTTTATCTTTCTCTCAAAAATTGCTCCCATCCCTGTGTTTCCTAACTTTCCAAAAGTGTTACCATATTGAAGTAAAAATTCTCAAAGTTATCTTGGATTCTTCCCTCTCCTTTAATCCAACATTTAAGTAATTAGTAATTACTAAGTCCTGTTAAATTTTATTCCTAAATAATTCTAGGATGTGCTTTTTTCTCATAGTCAGCACTGTTCTTCTGTGGTTCAGATCCTTGTTTCCACCGTACTATTGCAATAGATTCTTTACTAGTCTCACTTTCCTCTAATTGATCCTAAACACTTTTGTCACAGAATTTGTTTAATACACAAGGCTTATTATAGTTCTCCTTAGCTCAAAAGTCTTTAATAGCTCCCTCCCTCTAGTTTTTCAGCTTCTTTCAAAACCTAGCAGGCAATTCACTGTTAACTTTCTTTATCTACCACTTCCTGTAGAATTGACCATTCCCGGGCAGGTGCGGTGGCTTGCGCCTGTAATCCCAGCACTGGGAGGCCGAGGCAGCCGGATCACAAGGTCAGGAGTTTGAGACCAGCCTAGCCAATATGGTGAAACTCCCATCTCTACTAAAAATACAAAAATTTGCTGGCTGTGATAGTGGGCACCTGCAGTCCCAACTACTCAGGAGGCTGAGGCAGGAGAATCGCTTCAACCCAGGAGGTGGAAGTTGCAGTGAGCCCAGATCACGCCACTGCACTACAGCCTGGGCAACAGAGCAAGACTCTGTCTCAAAAAAAAAAAAAAAGAAAGAAAGAAATTGACCTTTCCCATCTTTGTTCTCCTAATGAAGGTGTTATGTCCTATCCTAGCACAAATCCTGTTTAAGTGTGTATCCCAAGCATTTGGGACACTAGGCCCACCATTACAGGGGAGGAAACCCTTCTAGATTAACCCTTCTAGATTCTTGAGAACCTAAAAGGGTTTCCTCCCCTGTAATGGTGGGCCTAGTGTCCCAAATGCTTGGGATACACACTTAATGAGCTAAATTGATATGAGTCAGGTTAACAGGAGAAAAACAATTTTAATTACATATGTATGCACAAGAGTCCCACAAAATGTGGGACTCAAAGAAGGGCCAGATGTTTGACACTTACAATACATCCTGACCTCAGAAAGGAAGTGGGACTCTGCATGGTGGCACGAACCTGTAATCCCTGCTACTCAGGAGTTTGAGGCAGGAGGATCCTTGAGCCCAGGAGTTGGAGGCCAGCCTGGGAAACACGGCAAGGCCAGTCTCTTCAAAATAAAAGTACGGCTTGGGGCTTCCAGGGGTGGTGGAGACAAGTTAAGGGAGAATAAGAGGAGAAAATGTAAGGTGAATAAAGGTTGACTTTTATGCAGATAAAAGTACCCCACATGATAAAAGTTAATTAGGAGCAGCTCTCTTTCTGGTACAGATTCCTTTAATTATGAAAATTTCCTTTAGAAATGTAAATTTCTCTTCACAAAAGGAGAGTTTTGTCCTTTATTTTAGGCAGTAGAGGGGAAAGTGAAGCATTTTCCTGTGTGGCTGGATCTTCGTTTATTTTTGCTGAAAAAAATCAATATGCCCTAGTGGCATATTTTGGGGTGCATATTCTGTATTCCTTCAGCTATAATCTGGGGTGGTGTGTCCTGAGCCCCAATACAAGGAAATCAATCAACGTTCACCCTAACTAAAGGAGCTTTCTTAAACATTCTAGGAGAACCTCAGCATCATGAATAGGCCGTAAAAAATCCTTTACAATTCAACCCAAAGGATCGTTTTAAAACATGCTTCCTCCAGGCACTTTCAATTATCCTTAGACAGATGGCCAAAGCCTGGCTACGGGAACCGCATATGCTAAGAGAAAACTGACTAGAGTTCCAAGAAAATGATGATTGGCTGCCGGGGCTCAGAAGTTGCAGGTTCTCCTCTGGTCAAGGCAGGAACTAAGAAACTGCTGAAGGTTCAGTTTTTGAAATACGGTTTTTGCATCGTAAAGAAAAAAGATCAACCTATCAGAAAGAATGGAGCACATCCAATCACCAATCAAGAGCGGGAAAGAAGCCAAAGCTTGGGGATACCTACGCACCAACAAGGACGTCATTCTCCACCCCCTCCAATGAGCAGCGGGATGGGGGGCGGGGCAGTAGGCGGACCTATTGCCCTAGAAAACAAACAAGCTGCGGTACAACTGTCCTCACCAGCCCTCGCCTGCCGAGCCACTGCAGCCAACCCCTCAGCAAGGTGGTGATTTAATGCTTTCCATTCTCTCCGCGTGGGGATAGTTACAGTGGAGTATCCCCTTCTCACTAGAGTAAGGCCCTGTTTTCCCGTGCCTCCCTGAAAACCACAGCAAACACACTAGAACTTTGAGCTTTCTGCCTTCACAAGAACCGGGAGCCCGGCGCTACCTGAGGCGGGGGTTGGGGGTGGGGAGCTGGTGCGCAGGCGCGCATGCCTTGTAGGGGCGAGGCTGTGGCGGCCCGAGGTAATCTGGGAGCTGTATTTCTTAGGTTGATCAAACCGCCCGGGCCGCTGTGGCCTTGGAGACTACGTTTCCCAGGAGCCTCCGCAACCATGGGGCGGGCCGGCGGGTTCGTTAATGAGCTCGAGGAAGCCACGGCGCGGCCCACCAGGTTCCAAAACAAGGAAATGAAGGGAGGAGGCGGGACTGGGGGTGCCTGCGGGAGCCGCTGCTGCCGCCGCCGTCGCGGAGGAGGAGGAGGAAGAGGTGAAGGAGGCGGCTGCCTCGGCCGCCGAGGAGTTCCTTGCTGAAGGCGGACCGCGGAGCGGCGGGCGGCGCGCGCGCGCCCGAGAGGAGGCTGTTGGAGAAGTGGAGCGGCGGTCGCGGGGGGAGGAGGAGGAGGGACTGAGCGGCAGCGGCCCCCGCGTCCCGTGCCTCTATGGGGGAAGCAGACAATGGATTATGATTTCAAGGCGAAGCTGGCGGCGGAGCGGGAGCGGGTGGAGGATTTGTTTGAGTACGAAGGGTGCAAAGTGGGACGCGGCACCTACGGGCACGTCTACAAGGCGAGGCGGAAAGATGGGTAAGAGCAGGGTCGGGAGGAGTCGGCTCGCTCGGGTCATCGCCCTGCCCGCCACCAGGCGGGATGGGTGGGTCGGAGCCCAGTCGGGCCGTGCGCGAGGGGCGAGGCGGAGGGGGTCGCGGGGCGGTGTCCGGAGATGCACTTCGAGGGGCGCCGGTTCCGCCTGCCTCCCCCGCGCGGCCCCGTTGCGCCCCTCGAACTCCCGCGGCGCAGCCCGGTCCGAGGCGTCGGTCCCGTCCCAGAGGGGCGCCCTCCAAGTGGTCGGAGACTGCGGCGGGACTCGAGTTGGGACCACGGTGGAGGAGGAGTTTGTGGGGTCTGGCCTCGAGGGAACGCAGCGGGCAGTGAGAGCTCCGCCGCGGAGTTACCTCTTCGGCCCTAGGTAGTGACGGTCGTTGTGGAACTTCCAATCGGCTGAGCGCCTCGCGGGGGCGGCGGTTTGAAACCTCGCCTGGGAGGCCGTCTTGCGAACACGGCCCGGGGTCCTCGCCAGCCCCGCGACTCTGACTGGCCGGGCAGCGCCGCCCCCAGCCGCGATCTCCGATCCTGAGGCTGGCCGGCCCGTTGGCCCCTCGGTGCGGTCCTCCTATCCCTGTTGTTTGCCCAGCGGATTTCTTATTCGCACATTCTGAATTGCGTATCTTCCCCCTCGAAGGAGACCTCCTGTCGGGCCAGCTGCGTTTCGCACGCGGTAACTTAAGAGTTGGCTCAGTTCCCTGCTACCCACCCTCTACCCCGTAGCCCCTTGGGTATCTTGGGAATTTTGTCCTCTACTCCATCCTCTGCGAGATGACTGCGGGCTGGGGTTTATCGAGTACCTAGATTATCTAGAAGGGAATGAGTGACAGCTTGCCCTGAACCTGTGTTTTTCCAGGAGTTGAGGGAGAGCTGTAGGAACACCTTGGGAAGCTTTTACTGATTGTCCTTTTAGGATAAGAAGAGCTGGATAATGTATTGACAATGGCTATTCTTCCTTGGTCCTGGAGGGCAGACAGCAGCTACAGCAGGACTGGTGGAACCAGCTCCTTGGCAGGAATTACCCTCCCCCAAGGTTAGGGACCCAGGAAGATAACCCTGTCCAGCATAGACTTTAAAGAGAGTTAGACTCTCTACGGAAGAGAATTGTAACGGAACATTTCTGAATAAACTGATCAGCCACAGTGACGTTAGTAACATTTGAAGTGCCGCTTATCTTTGTGCACGCTGTTATAATTTGATGTGGTTGGTATATGAACTCTAGGACTAAAGTAGGTTATGTGCGTATGCACTAATTTCATAAAACAAACACAACTCTATAAAATGCTTTATCATAAGGTATCGTGAAAATTGCAAAGTACTATCCAAGTATAAAGGATTATTATTATTGCGGAGTTTTTTTTAATCTTGTAATCGCTGAACAGGCTTCAAGGTATCAGTTGTTTCTCATAATTCCTTTAATTACCAGGTGTCCTTGAATGCTTATCATGGAATGTGAGGTACTGTAATTAACATATTTTGGTTTTGGAATATCCATTCTACCTGTTATACTAGGGTTCTTGTAGAAATCTTATCGGATATATTTGGGGAAAGCACATCCAGTTTTCCTGTTTGGACATTGTTAATCAATCTGAGGTTGGTTTTTCCCATACTCCTCATGCTAACTTTGTAATATACTTTAGGTTTAAAAAAATGTATCTTAGTGGGTTTTTGTTTTTTGTTAAAGTAGCTTTCTTTTATTAGGGAACTTTTAAGAAGTTAAAAATTCTGCTTCTGAATTGTATTTGAATAGTATGGGCTTAAAACAAAAACCAGATAGTACCTGCTTCTATTCTTTTTGAATATTCTCCCCTCTAATAAAGTATTTGATTCGAATACACTTCCTTTTTGAGTGAAATTTGTTAATTAGAATTAATAAAGCTTCTTTAGTAGAGTAAGATTAGTTTGTGTGTCTTCAAAATATAACGCTCTTTTTTTCTAAAAAAAAAAAACACTTAGGATCTGAAAGCATTAGTTAAAATCACTATGTTACATGTAAAAAAAAGCCATAATAAAGGCTTTTTTCCTGGACGACAAATCTGGTTGAGATTTGCAACTTTACAGTAAACACCCACATCTCTTGTGGGTTGGTAGTGGGATTAGTTTTATGTTCATTGATACCAACAATTTGAAAGAACATCTGTGTCCTGTGGGTTCACGTTTACAAAAAATTTTTTTTTTTTTAAATTGTTTTAAATTGTGAGGCAGATTTGCATAGTAAAGGATTTTACACTCTGATCGTGGTAGATTACAGTTTAGCTCTTTCCAGATTTTATTTTGGTTAACTCAGAAAATGCATAATGCTATTTAAGGGAGCCAGAAATCACACAGGTTATATTAAAGAGAAATGATTCTGGTGTATTTAATGTATATAACCAAAGCGTTGTTCAGGTCTTGAGAAGAAATATTTGAAGAAGTAACTTGACATAAAATATAATTGTTTAATACAGTTTACAAAATCTTAAATGTTATTCTCTTGAAGTATGACTTTAATTTAGGCAATGTTAATTATTATTATTTTTTTGAGATGGCATCTTGCTCTCACCGAGACTGGAGTGCAGTGGCTCAATCGGCTCACTGTAACCTCTGCCTCTCAGGTTTAAGCTATTCTTCTGCCTCAGCCTCCTGAGTAGCTGAGACTGCAGGTGCCCACCACCATGCCCAGCTAATTTTTGTATTTTTAGTAGAGATGGGGTTGTACCATATTGGCCAGGCTGGTCTTGAACTCCTGATCTCGTGATCCACTCACCTCGGCCTCCCAAAGTGCTGGGATTGCAGGCGTGAGCCACCGTGCCCGGCCCCATGTGGTGTTAATTATATTACATAAATTTATAACAAGCTGAAAATGCAAGATTTATGTCTGAGTTTTTTTTTTTTTGCCTTTAATTAAAAATGTTTTTTGTTCACCTTTTTGTTTTGAAAGAGAAGCTTTTGACCCAACTCTCCTTTTTATTTAGTATTTATACTTTTGAATATTTTTTTTGTGGAGACAGTGTCTTGCTGTGTTGCGTGGGCTGGTCTTGAACTCCTGGGCTCAAGTGATCCTCTTGCCTCAGCCTCCCAAAGTGCTGGGATTACAAGTGTGAGCCACCATGCTGGACCTCCAACTCTTTTTCCATAAAAAAAAATCTGGCTTAAAAGTTGTTCTTATTTGTTTTTTTGCTGTATAGAGACAGGGTCTTGCTGTGTTGTTCAGGTTGAACTCCTGGCCTCCCAAAGTGCTGGCACTACAGGCTCATGTCACCACACCCAGCCAAATGTTAGACTTGAGGAGAAACAAGTTCGGAATATTTCTGAACTTTTTAATACAAGCAAGAATTCATAAAATATTTTTTTTTCATTATTAGTAAGTCACACATGACAATTTATGGTTACAGATTTCAAGACTGCATTTCTCCAGTATGAAACATTTAAAAATTTGATTGATAAAGGAATATTTTTAAAAAGTTCTTTTATTGGCTGCGCCCTATGACTCAAGCCTATAATCCCAGCACTTTGGGAAGCTGAGGCGGGTGGATCACATGAGACTGGGAGACCAGCCTCAGCAACAAGAGGAAACCCCATCGCTACTAAAAATACAAAAATTAGCTGAGCATGGTGGCATGCGTGGCTGACACAGCTTGTAGAGTTTGTTTCGTCAGGGTTTCAAATGAGTGGTTAATGACTACATAATGTATGTCATGAAATTATTCACAAATAATAAGTCCATGTAGACGCATATAGGTAAAACAATAGTATTTGCCTTTGATGGGTTTTTCACAATCGGTTTGTAATTAGATTATTTTATTTGCATTTTTATTGGATACTTACAGAACATTGAAGATTTATCAGTATGATTAGAGTATTAGAACTTTACAAAGTTTAAGATCACCTAGTTCAATTTCCTCTTTTTACAAATGAGAAACCTAGAGTTTTGAGAGGTTAACTGTCATGCTCACAGTCTCACAGCAGAGATAGCCTGTAATCCACATCTAACTTGGCCTTCTTGCATTTTCCTTCCTGATACCATGGGAGGGAAAACAAAAAAAGGTCATCTTACCTCCAGGCTTGATAACTTAATAAACTTTTTTCCATGCCAGAAGTGCATTTATATTAAAAAATATGAAAAAGGGAAATTATCACACATAAAGGACACATAAAGTGGGAGTGCGGGACTGTAGATTGTACTACATGTAGCTGCGGCTTTTAATCTGTTTTTTTCTTCATCTTCACTATCAAGACTTTTGGCCATTATTTCTGATTTGGATAGTGGCTGATTGGTCTTTCACTATAGTCAAAGATCCAAATTGCTGCTAGTGTCATTTTCCTATAAAATCGTGTCATATCTCTTTTGGAAAATTCTTACGTTTGCTATGGCTTATACTATCAGATCCAATCTCTCATCTTTCTCTCCTCACTCTCGCATGAATCATGCTTGAGACTTAGATCCAATCTTAATTCCTTAGTTTGGCATGTAAGGATATTTGCATTCAGACCCTGAAGTCTGTAGTCTTGATACTTGCCACCATTTCTTTTTTTCCAGTGCATTCAAGCTGTATACTTCTGTAGCATTGAACTCATATTTTCTGGCACTTAAGTCCTTTTATGTCTAATTTTCTTTTTTCTACATTCACTCTACAATGGTGTTGCTGTGCCATTCCTGCTTCCCTGTTTTACCTTACTCTTAAAAACCTGTCAAACTGCTCATGCTTCAATACCCAACTCAAATAGCTGTCCTCCTCAGAGCCTTCTCTTACTCAGTGTACTCCTTAGCTATGTTTCTACCCCTTTGTTCTTACCTATATAAAGTCACTACAGGTGATTCTCATTTGCCTCATAGATTACTAGCTGCAAAAGGATCATTATTCTATTTCTAGTGCTTTGTAAAGAATTGGGCACATAATACACACTCAAAATTATATTCAATTAAAAATGCTCTTCATTGGTAGATATGTTTCACTGATCTTAAAAGCAGACCAAATTCCTTTAAAAATGTTTATTTGCTT